AAATCTGGCTACCAGTATTAAAAAACTCTAAAATTTCAACAACACAACAGCAGAGAGGAAACAAGCAAGGACATCTAATCACCTCTCAACAAAAGTTTGCTGTAGGCACTGCCAGGCCATTATATGCTAATCAGGGTGGTCAGTTGAAACATTCACACCTAGCTCCAGCAGACAAGAGTCCTTTGTCCCACCCTGGTCATTCCACAGATATATAAACCCTTTTTCCTAGTTCCAACAGACCTCACTACCTCTGAGGATGCTTGCCATAGATGCAGGCGAAACATCAGGAGAGAATGCTTCTAGACCATGGCCATATAGCCCGAAAAAACCTACAACAACCCAATAATAATAATCTTTATTTACACCCTGCCACCATCTCCCCCAATGGGGACTCGGAGCGGCTTACATGGGGCCAAGCCCGAACAAGAATTACAATATAACAATACAAAATTGCAATAAAATAAAATAAACAATAATAATAAAGGGGGGGGGGATCAAAGCATATAAACAATAGACATAAAACATCCTTCCAAAGCTAAGACACAGAAAACTATGGTTTTAAAACTTTCTTGCAGTTGGCAAAAAAGGAAAAAACATGTAAACAATATTTATGGAGATGGAAATCCTTGCTTTTCCTCTTAAGAGGTTCGTGCAGAGCACAATAGTGAAAACCTGGCCGAGCAGCAAAAGCTCTGAGTTAATTTGAGAATCTCTATTGCCTTTAAGCTGCCTAATAATAGCGGAGTAAAGAGGATTGGCTGCAAAGGACCCGAGACAGAGAAGCCGCTCTCAAGACAAACGCTTTGCCTCCACTTTCTTTGATGCTCAGAGGTTACCTGGCTTGACTCTGCTGGGCTTCCCATCGAGTCGGGCCTCGTTTCTGAAACATCACGCTTGGAAGCGTCTGTCTCTGGAAAAAGCAGAAATAAAAGGCAGTGAGATGCAACGACAATGCGTTTCCTTTGAGTAAGGGCTGGAAATAAATTTTCTACAGGTTGTATCTGATGCCAGAAAGGCTTTCTAAGATGTAAAAGGGCAGCCGTTCGAGTAAACGTTGGAAAAGAGGATGATGTTGGAACATTTTGCTGTATGTGGTTGCCTTGCAAAAAGGGCCAGAAATACTGGACTCGAAGACATGCAATTATTATCTATATATATAAATCTGTTAGGTTGGTTCAACCGGACAGCAAAACTCCACAACCCCCCAACGAA